CTATTATTACGCCATTTTTTTCGGCATTTCGGCTTTTCGGCGTTTTAGAATTCGGCGTTTTAGGCGATCCCTAAAAAATAACAAGTTTCCGGGAAAAGCGACTCCGCATGGTAAGGGAATTCGTTTGAAATACGAGAAAAATGGAAATGACTTAAAAGTAAAACTGTATATCTCTTATATTTCATATATATGTTGTATTTCCAATGATACCCGTTAATAAACTCTCAAAACTTTAACTGAGTGACAGAGAAATCATTTTTAACTCCATAATAGCATGATATATACAGTTGAACTTCATAATTTTAAAGATATTAAGTGCCGTCGACTTTACGTCGATATTTTAAATTTGTTTACATATATAAGCTTAAAATGAGATATTTAAAAAAATACTCATCGACGGCAATTAAAAAAGTAAACATAAAACTAAGATGAAAAACGTTAGCTCGACTCGATTTTGTCGACTTTCCACTCAAGTCGACTTTCCGTTGAAATTTTTCGCACGGTTTGTCGACTTTAAGGCGATCTAGTTATATATATATATATATATATATATATATATATATATATATATATATATATATATATAATATATATATATATATATATATATATATATATATAATATATATATATATATATATATATATATATATATATATATATATATATATATATGATATATATATATATATATATAAATATATATATATATATATATATATATATATATGTATATATATATATAGATATATATATATATATATATATATATATATGTATATATATATATATATATATATATATATATATATATATATATATATACTATATATATATATATATATATATATATATATATATATATATATATATATATATATATATATATATATATACATATATATATATATATATATATATATATATATATATATATATATATATATATATATATATATATATATATATATATATATATATATATATATATATACTATATATATATATATATATATATATATATATATATATATATACATATATATATATCTATATATATATATATATATATATATATATATATATATATATATATATATATATATATATATATATATATATATATATATATATATATATATATATTACAACATTTTACGAAACTCCAAGTTTCATGCCTTTCGGTAATCATTCAACCATATCATTTAAAAGTCATTTAAAAAAATTGTTCTAAAAAGCAGAACGTTGTAATCCTTAGGCAAATGCTGCCCCACTGTTTTTCTACATGAGTACCTGCTTTTTTAAGTTTCCTGACCACTTTAGAAATTAAAAGATTTTAATTGGTTCACAAAAATTAAATATAAAAAATATAATTTTATTGCAAAACATTAAATTTGAACATTTTAAGTAAAGAATGAGGTCATTCATCTGCATTACAAAGGTTGAACTTGATTTGTGGAACAACTTAAAAATTGTCAGTGATATAGATAATATAGGAAAAAGCAATGAATTTGTTATGAAACTACAAGATAAACTTGTGAGAAGAGAATTTCATCAGCCATAGTTCATTGCATGTCAACATTATATACTTTACAAAATCTTGAAGCATGTGTTAGACTTTAATTTTAGTTTGATCTAAGGATAATACTCAAAATTATGAAGTGATCGGACGTGTTTTTCTGCCATGGTTAAATTAAAATTTTTGTAAAACTACAATTTTTTATATTATTGGTTTTGTATTTAAAGAGTAATTGGAATGAATCAATTGAATATGTCTTTTAATTGCCTTAAACTATGAGTTTGACGTCATATCTCTTTCAGAGACTTGGCATGATTCAGAAAACTCCGGCTTAAATTCAATCTATCTATAGTAAGCCTCTTTACTAACTAATTGGCCAAGCAACAACAAGCAGAAAAAAGGTGGAGAATTGGGGGTTTATGTCTTAAACGAATATGCCTATAAAATAAAAATTTATTATGTTTATTAAATACTAACTTCAAAAAGTCTTTTCATCGAAATTATTAACAATAACTGCAGAATTATATTAGTTTGATGCGTTAATCTTCCACCATGTGGTAAAATGAATTCATTCTTTCTAATAAATTTTTTTAAAACTTTATTATAAAAAAAAAAAAATTATATTCTATATATTACCGGTGACTAGATCTTTCTTTGATATGTTTTTTAAATTTAATGTCTTATTAAACACACAGGTGTTACAAAAACCTAAAAAAACAGTTGACAACATTTAAATTAGCAACTACTTAGAAACCTTTAGATTTAGAATATTTAGAACAGATGAGAGCATCTGTTCTAACTATTCTATATACTCCACCTATATTATAAGAAGTTATAATATAGGTGGAGTAAAAATATCAACTAATCACAATCCACTTTTTAAAAACTGTCCAATAATATTGTTTGAAACGTCATAAGCAGTTAAAGCTCTGCAAATAAAAGAAAGCAATTTGTAAACAATATTTAGAGTTTATTGTTATTTTATGTGTTGTGTTTTTTGAAACAAATAATAAGATATTACTAGAATTAAATTAATAAATGTCTAGATAAGAATTGTTAGTATTTTTACCGGATTTACAAAATGGTATTTTATATTATCATTGTTGATATATAACATGAGGTACGCATGGCTTTTTCAGCATGTAACTCATGTGGGGATTAATATTTTATCCCATATGAGTTTCATGTGATAAATCCCACGCAGAAAATTGGTGGAAAATTCTACATGGGTTACAGGCCCGTAGGAGCAAAAATTATTTTTGGGGTACTACCCCGAAATAGTTTTAGGACCTTTTTTTCTTTTTTAGTCATTTTTTCATTTTTTAAATCTACATGGGATACGCATGTTTTTTTACCGCTCGTTTTTGGGAGCTTTAACCTTTGTGTAATTTTCAACCAGTTTTTGCATCAATGGGTTTGCAACTTAGTTGTCTAATATTAGATGCTAGCTTTAACTTGGTTGTCTAATATTAGACGCTAGCAACAACTTCGTTAGTCAATGTTAGTTTCACATTAAAAAACGAGTTTGCCGCTTCAAATAAGTTACGCTCGCGATTTTTTCAATTTCAATATTTGAATCTGTTCAATTTTAAAAATCATTAAAGTTGCAGTTGTTATACCAAATGTCATAAATTAAAATAGTTTTTTTATGAATAAATTTAATAAACACTTACTTTTTAGTTTAATACAGTCTTTTTATTTAACATATTTTTATGCGACAAACCTCATTATCAACAGAATCATAATTTATTTATTTATTTTGTTATTTTAGGTGCCACAAAAAGGCCTAACGGTCTTGTCACAGAGCACCGCGGAAGTGATTTTAACCAGAAAGTTCACGCCTTCTTCCCTACCGTAACGCAAAATATGTCCAAAGCTCGTTTCAAACTTAAACTCCTGCTTATAAAGCAAGCGCTCTAACCACTGCGTCACGGCCGCATCATAAATGAGAAAACATTGCACTGCAATTGCAACTAATACGATTTTTAAAAACATTAAAACTGAACTGAAAAGTAATAAAAATCTTCAAAATTAGCCCGGCGGTCAATAAGACTTTAAATAGGCGCAGATTCTTTATAAAATTATTTCTTTAGAGTTGGATCGCAATTTATGTTCAGTTAAGGAGATTAACCGCTTTAAAATTTTTGTTAGATTGTCGGAGCTGGCATGGATGTAACTTAACATAACTATCAGGTTTATGACAAGACCCGAAACTGCAGTCGCATATCAAGATGGTAAACGTTTTTTATAATGCATTGAGAAGATTTTGAACAACTGAGTTATGTATTTTAATTTTTTCCGGTTAAGGACTGCCAGCATTTTTAAACACGCCTAAATTATTATCTCTATACAGTCCAACGTCACACTTGTTGTAAAACTGGGAAATTGAAAATAAAAAAAAAAAAGAGAAATTCCAACCAGCTCACATATCTCATATATAATGACATCAAATAAACCGACAATTTTTCTCTTTAAGACTTTATTATTTAACAAAGACAAAGTCATCGTTAAATAATAAAGACATAAGTGCGTAATAAACCAAAGATTTGTTCTCTTTTAAGATATACTGTTTAGCAAATAATATATGTATATATATATATATATATATATATATATATATATATATATATATATATATATATATATATATATATATATATATGTAAAACACGCACAAAAATAAAAATTTTGATTTGATCCCATTTCCACTCTATATACTAAAATTTATCATCTATTTAAATATTGTTTAAAATTTCAATTAAATGTTTTTTTGTCCTAAAAATAGACAATAAAAGTATATCAATTTCTGTTAATGCGCAACTATAAGTAGTACAGTTTTTCGTTTTTTTCTCAAAATCAAATTACTCGGCGCGTTTTGCATATGAGCTCCTCATATATATGTATATTAGACACCAGTGATTTTTAACTTTTTTTCGAAATCGCAATTACTTCAAGCTGGAGTACCTTCTTTAGACCATAAAAACATTATGGGCAAATATAAAAGCTTCAGGTATTTCCGATTCTATCTTATTTGGACTTATATTTATCATATATTATCATTAAAAAGTAAAAACTTTAAGAGGTCACACAATAAATATTTGAAACGTTAACGCACAAAAACTTTTATGAATGTATTGTTTATAAGGATAAGTTGTATAAATAACTTTAACTTAAATTTTTAAGGTTGTTTTTAGGGTGTTGGAAAAATAATTATCATAACTTAAACAATAAGCGGTTTTCAATAATCATTAGCCATTAACTGAAAAACGGATTTAAACATAAACAACAATGTTATGTTATCACAGCACTTTTTATCCGGATTTATTCTAATATACAGAAGCAAAAAAAGAAAACTATTTTTACGGGTGGTGACTAGATGGCGGGGCAGGTGTTAACAATCCTCCCCCCCCCCACTCACCCAAAAAAACAAGATTATTTTATTAGATAAAATAATCTTAGGGGCATAATAAAATCTTATTAGATAAGATTTTATTATGCCCCTTTTGACTACTTCTAAATATAATATACTTTTACTGCTGAACCAAATTGATAATAATAATAAACAAATTAATAAATTTCCCGCTAGCATAATTACTGCTGAACCAAATTGATAATAATAATAAACAAATTAATAAATTTCCCGCTAACCGTTTGCGAGTGGCACGGAAAGTTTCCTGATTCGGAATCATATTCAAAAGCTCCTCATTTGATATATCTTCCACACAAGGGGGCTTAAAACAGTCTATATCATACAAATTTATTAATTTTGACCAGTTTTTACATCTACAATCAATAACTGGAATGGCATAAATTATGGGCAATGTAATATTTTGAACTTCAGTATTCAACCTCAAAATCCGCTGAATAAATTGGAAAATGAGTTTAGGACCCTCTCTGAAACTCTTAGACTTTTTGATATTAAACCGCATAGGAGTATATACTGTTTGAATATATTCAACAAAGATTTTGAGCTCTCTACTGGGATTGATTGTTCTTGTGTATAGTACCAAGATCCGTACTGCTGTTTTCAGCCACCTTGCATGACAAATAGGGCCTAAAAATATAATCTTTTATATATAAAAATTAATTAATAGTATAATTTAATAGTAAATTATATATTAATAAATATATATTTACATTAACTTCAAACAAACAAAATAAAAGGAAAAATATTAGGAACAAATGATTTACAAAACAACACACATATTTTTTTTCTCAGATACTAGTTGTCTGAAAACCCTCTAGAAATTCCAATACTATATTCCAGTAGCATTCTCTGGTCAGCAGAGAGGTCTTTAATGACACACGGAGGAGGATATTCAACGTCTGTCTCAACTTGTATGAAGTCAACAGTTAAATTTAAATGAATTGGATTTGTCAAAGATTTTCCAACTGGTCCTTTAAAATATTATTATTATGATTTGATCAAGTATATTAATATTAATAGTTATAACTTTTTACTCAAAATAATAATTTATATTTATGCTTATCAGAATAAAGTAAAGCAGCAATAAAACTCAAAAGTAAAAAATAGAATTTCTATAAATTTTAATAATGTTGCTAAATAATAATCGGGTAATCTAAATAATAATATTATCATCAAGAATGTATGTATGGGTGGATCGATTTTCATAGCAAAAAAAAAAAAAGTTTAAAAATCAATATTCCTGAGACACGAATCGATGTTTATTAATTATAAGATGAAAGTAAAAAAATATTTTTTGATTTTGATGAGATCTTGGGTTCCTCTTTGGATTCTAAATCCTTGACGGATCCTAATATTTTTGAATTTTTCTCTAAACTATATCAACCTTGGACTCAAAAAAGCAGAAAAAAAATTTTGTTTTATCAATAATAATTTTATTAAAAAAAAATTTTTAGTGAAAAAAATATTTGCAAAAATATACCTTAAAACCCCCGTTTTGATGAAGACGGGGGTTTTTTAATGAAAAAAACGACAATTTTTTTCTCTTTAGTTTTGAATTTAAACAAATAATATTAAAATAATATTATTATTTAGATTACCCGAATAGTTATTTAAGCTATTAGAAGAACCATAAAGTTTAGAAATTAAATGACACAATAGTAACTCGTTAACATGTAGAAGACAACCAATTAAATGAATTCTTCTTTTCAATATTCTTTCAAGACAAGCAACTAAACCATTATCTTTTCCAAAAATGATATAGTAATATGAAAATATATAACTCAAATAAAGATTTATATATTATTATTTTTTTATTTTTCAGACAGGCATTTTTAAAGAAAAAATATACCTGTATTAACACTTGTATTGTCCAAAATTATTGCCTGGATACTTTTATCACTCTTAAACTCCTTGAGAACATTACAGGTAAATTCAGCAAGATCTTTTCCTTTACCTTTTTCTTTAGGTACATCTATGTGCTTTAGATATTGACCTTGCAACTCGCTTTATTTAAATTAAAACATTTTTATTAGTAAAAAAAAAAATTAAAAAAAAAATACCAAGACAAAAGAGATAACATTGGCCTTTACCTGATTCAATTGTGAATGTCAAGTGGTCTACAGTGCTGGTAGATTTACAAAGTTTTATTTCACCATCAATATCTCTCTGTTCATAAACCAATGAGTTTTTATTACATTTGCTATCCAAAACAATTGCCTTTATATTTGAAACTTTAGATTGCTCAAAACTAGCATTAAAGCATACTCGTTCTTTCTCTCTCTTCATTTTACTTGGATCAATTACATCATTTAGATGTAGATAACCAATATCTTGAAGTAGAGCATTAGCTACAGCGGCAGCTGCTTCATCTAATATTCCATATCTAATTACCTCTAAAGCAAATTTGGGATAGTGGATAGTGTTATAGTACTTTGATCTAGTCTGATTTAATGATGAAATTGAAGTTTCACTCTGTAATTATAGAAAAAAATACAACAAAATTTCCAGAAATTAAAAATAATAACAATGAAAATTTTACATTTAATTGTATTAACATTTAAGATGCTCTAATTAACTTTAGAGCATTATATTTAAAAGAATTAAGAAATTTAAGAATATATATAGTTTTTATCATACAATCAAAGTTTACAGGTCAAAATTTATTGCCTGATCCATGATTGTGTCAAACTCTTTAATATAAATTTCTTTATCAGAAGCTTTTGTTTGCTTTGTTTTTCTTGAGGTAGGTGATAACAGAGTTATCAATACCTCCTATTTGAAACTTTCCTTTAGTACCAATTTTCTCTGTTTGGTCTTTTATATAGGAACGCTCTTCCAAAAGAACCTAAATAATTATTTCTGGTTTTAAATATTATTTATATTTTTTATATTTTTAGATAAAACGTGTTATTATCTAAAAATATAAAAAAGTTTATCAAATAAAAACTAAATAAGTTATTTAAAGTTTAATTTAAAATAAATTACTCTAAATTTGTATAACTTACTTTTTTACTACCAACACAATTACAGTAAAGATGCACATTTGAACAACCCGAGCATTTGATATTCCTGTCATCACAAGGAAGAACTTCAAGCTTGCAGTTACATGCTAGCAGATCAAAAAGTTTTACTTTATTTTTTTCCAACAATTTTTTGGTCAAAGGTTTAATTTTATTTCCATTCCAAGAAACAACATTATTATAAAATTTTAAAAGTGTAACAATCAAACTTTTTTCAGGTAACAAAACTAATTTGGAATTGCAATTGAACCATATTTCTTTTAAACTACAAAGCGTTCTTTAAATAATAAGATTATTGTCTTTAATACCATCAAAATCTTTTAATTTGTAGAAAAATTTGCTTGCTACATCACCATAAGTTGCTAGATCTGTAATAGGAAGATCAGAAGGGCTACCACCATATAAATTACACCGTCTATTTCTTTTTACAGGAGACATTTTTGTATTATTGTAATAAACTAAGTTTGATAATATAGTTAATATATATTATAGATTTTATAACTCTTTAAAAATAACAGTAAAACGCTTTCGCAAGGTTCAATCTACAATTTGATACTCTGCTTTTTGGTTTGTTTACATTTTTTTAAGGCCGCATGTCATAATAAACAGGGTGTCAACTCAAAACAAACTTTAAAAAATATTTAAAAAAAACACAACTGAATAACTGGAAAATGCATTTTTTATAATCATTGAATCAATGATGCACAAAAAATATATTTTTAGTTTTTTTAGTACGCTTTTCAAAACAGTCCTTTCTAGTTTTTTCAGTTTATCCAGCAGAGTGAACACCCCGATATTTCCAATAAAAATGGCGACTTATAAGAAATCTTTTAAGTTGGAATTCTAATGCTTATTTTTTAAATAAAATAGCTTCTACTCAACTTTAAAAGTTACTTTTTCCGCCAAAATTCCTATTTTTTTATAAGGTAATTACTCCAGCTTGAAGTGATAAATTTCCAGAAATTGCTGGTGTCTAATGTATATGTATAAAACACATTAACACACACTTAAGTAAAAATACAAAGCATTAAGATTTGAAATATTTTTTAAGAATGTTTGTAAAACATAGTACAATTAAATATCTAAGATTTGATAAGTATATTTTTCATAAACAAATACTGCAAGTAAAACGATAAATATATTTTCTATATTGCTCTATTTTTTAAAATTCTAATAGCCAATCACGATTCAGAATTGCCAATCATGATTTAGAAAGCTTATTAAAAGTAATAGTAAAAATGCAACCATAAAAATACAAATAATTTACATAAGAAAAATATTGAAAATATACATTTTTAAAAAATGACTTTAAAAAAAATAACTTTTCTATGCGAATGAGAGATGTATAAATTATATAAAACAAAAACGAATAAGTTATGAAATTTGAAATATGCATAATTTGTCCGATAAGAAAATATATATGCTTAAATATTCTTGGCTTTAAAAAAAATTTATAAAAATTTGTAAAAATGTCTTTTATAATACACAGCTAAACAATAGTTTGCCGATTAGATCGCTTTAACCTATCAGATTGACGAGATGCCATATTAGAAAAATCACGAAAAACATTATTCACTGTTTCATCTCCTAAAAAAAAAATTTAAACTTTTTTTCTTGGCATATCCTCTTTAAAGTTAACAAGTAAAAAATGAGAAGAATAATAAAAAATGTTATCATAAAATTATTTAAAGTTCATCAGTCTTTAAGTCTTAAAGAAAGTTATTATACGAAAAATAATCGTCACGTTATAGGCTTTACAGTATTGACACAAAGAATAAAAAAAACATAAATAGAACGTGAACTTTAAGGTGTTTTTAAATAAAAATAATCTAAATTATTTGAAAGTTTCCAAATGAATATTAGTAAATGAATTATTTGAATATTAGGTTCCAAATTTGACTTGTTGCATAGAATGAATTTTTCTTTTAAGCTTTCTATAAGCTTTTAAAAATTCTATGGACTGCCTAGAATATTGTGGAATCTATTGTACTACTGCCTAAGAACGTCAAGAACTTTCTGTTATCCATTATATAGTTCTTTCAGAGCATATAGACACCACTTAAAATCCAATTTATTGGTGACTGTTCGTAGTAGTATTCATCAAAAAAAGTAAAAATAAATGCAAAAAATAGAGTAGATATACACAATGAGGATATAGAATTTGAAAAAAATCCATTAAAAGTTTTAAAAATGAGTCGGTATTTTTTAAAAGGGGAGATTTGCTCAAAACCCATTTATGAAAAAACTAAAAAAAATTCTTTATATCTTTTTCTAATTAACATACAGGAGTTTTGTAATATATTTTTAAAATATGCATGAAACGTCATAGTGCACAATTGTTAATTTATATAACTTTTTGTTAGTTAAGATTTGTTGTTTGAAATTTCAAAAAATTCGCCCTTGTAAAAAAAGTCAAAACTTTTAGGAAAGAAAATAAAATAAAACTCTAACAGAAACTTTAAAGCTTTTAAACAATTTTTTAACGTGTTAGAAATCAATATAATACATAAATATAAAGTATTGACTAAAATTGCTATTAGTAAACATAAAGACAAAGTTTTTTTTCCGATTCTTCCTCAATCACTCCGAGGGAGATCTTTATATTCAGTAGTTGGCCAGGAGTACAGCTCGTTATAAAACTTATTAAATTCTTCAAAAATAAATTCTTTTAATTTGGTAAGGTCTTCCACCTTTGCTTATTTAAGTGTAACCTTGCAACATAGGTATACCAAACCACTTGTGGTAGAGCAAAATATGACCAAATCATTTATTTTTGGTGAATCTCTTGATGAAGGCTTATTTTATTACAATCGTATACAAAATGAAATAGTTAACAAAGTGAACCTTTCTTTCTTGTGATACTTTTATCTTTAGTTTCTGCAGAAACACTGTAATTTTTGGTGCTACGATTCAGATGCATCTACTATATCTTTGGGGTGAAGCGAAACCTAGACTAACCTAATTAAGTATTTCCTTGCTTATATAAGTAATAATACCTTGCATATACAAGATGTAAGTAAGGTATAAGCTTGGTATAAGTCAAACAAAACACCTGATCCAGGTATTTTGAATTATCCTATGATATAATATTTTGAAACATTTAACATTCATTTAATATTAACATTTATTTGTGTATGTATTTATTTGAATGTGTGTGAAACGTTTTTGTTTGTGAGTTTTATTGGAAAAAAAAATTTGTTTATTGATTGTTATATTTTAAAAAGATATTTATATTACTTTTGTTATTTTTATTATGATTATTGATATTAAGATTATTATATTTATTAAATTATTGTTACATTTTTTTGCAGTAGTTGTTTTAGTTAAACAGGTAGGTTGTTACGTTTTGTTAGTATATAAATGTTTGTAACTTTCCTGTCTGTGCGTAATATTCAACTATTGTTTTCTTCTTCGCGAGGGCCATCACGAAGAAGATCACGGAAAGAGTCCCAGTCAGCTTTAAAGTTGTAAGAGGTACAATGGTAGGGGGATTCTGATGATGAGGAGGAATGATATGATAGATTTAGAGAGATCAGAAGCACCTAAGGGTGAATGTGGAGAAACTGAGCACTGACTAAAATCAGAAACAAGAAATAAGCTGAGTAGAGAAGGTAAATGATTCTGGTTATGTGGAATGTGAGTTAAGTTTACTATTTGAGTTAGGGATTGAGAAAGACAAAGGTTGTGGGCCTTAAGACCTGCAAAGTCATTGAAACTTGAGTTTAGCCATTCAGTATGATGAGCATTAAAATCATCAACAACAACGATATTGGCTAATGGATAAAGAGAAAGGGCTTGGTCAATTTGATCAGAAATTGTATCAAAAAGAGTCCAGTCTTGAGATGAAAGAGAGTAATGTAGAACAAAGAAAAAGGCGATAGAGTGAAGTGATGCTAAACAAAAGCACATAAAAGAATAGTCGGTGGATTCAAACCTAGTTTTCCAACAAATAGGTGAATTCATATGAATGCCCAGGCCAAGACTCAACAGAAGAAAAGTTACCTTGAAGACCACAAATATTAGTGAATGATTTGGTGAAAGAACTTGGCGATGACAATGATTTTTTGTGTTTTATAGTTTTTAATACTTTAGTCATTTTTTCAATTTTTTAAAGAACTTGACTCAAAGCATAGATGGTACTCAGTACACTATTTAATATCCTGAGCAATTGCCTCATTACTATTAATAAACCTTAAGCCGTAACAAAGGGCTCTAGATGTGGCCTTAACAATTTATACCAAAAGTATAAACAGTGACCTATTCCATGCACAACATCGCACTGTTAGTACTCTGATATTTTACAGCTGTAAAATATCAGAATACTAACAGTAACGGGTCACAACTAAAATTTTGCCCAATTTTTAAAACAAGATATCTCAGTCATTTTACAATTTTTTTTAAAACGGTTTTTTGCAATTTATAAACAACAATTTAAAGTGTTAGAAAAAATGTCTTTTAAAGTTTTTCGATTCCATTCCTTCTGACAAAATCGAGTCTTTTGTGTACCGAGCTGAAGGTGCGGTGTATAAGGTCTTTGTCCAAATTACGAAGGCAAAGACTGACTCTAGCTTTGAGTTGAGTGATAGTTTTAGCCTGCCAGTCCTTCTCATACACTTTCTGCTTCAAAAATCCCCAAAAATTCTCAATTGGCCTGACTTTCGGGACGTTTGCTGGGTTGTCTTGTTTTTGTACAAAATTGACTTTTTTGTCTCTGAGGTCGGCGTGGACTGAGTTTGCATAGTAAGAGCTAGCTAAATCGGGCCAGAATACGTATTTACCATCCCTATAGTATTTGTTAATAAAAGGAATCAACCTCTTTCGTATACACTCGTCATGGTAAATATATTGATTGATTGCCAGGCCAGACTTGAAAAATTTGACACTACTCATTCCTCGAGGTGAAACTGCCACCCAAACAAGTAGTTTTGACTCGTATTTTGCCTTCATTTTGTTCTTCACATCAGTAGGAGTCTTTTGAATATCATCTGAGTAAAATCGGTCATTCCCAGCCAAGGTTGTGTTGGAAAGAGTGAAGTACGATTCATCATCCAAAATAAAATCGACATCACGAAATTTGAGGAAAAGTCGTCCACACTTTGGCCTTGCTAACTTGACTTGTAAGGCTGTCATCTTTGGTTTGACGGTGCATTTTAGACATCTGATATTTGTTCTTTGCAATAGCATTTTTGAAACGTATTGCTGAGTCGTTTTTAGCTTGCTAGCTACTCTTTTCTGTGAGCAGCCCTTCCGGAGATTGAAGAAATTTTTCATCTTACGTATGTTGTTTGCAGTCGCTATAGTGGTCGAAGGACCGCTTCCTTTTTTTCTAGTTAGTACTTTATTTTGTTCCAGCATGCTAAGCCAATGATTTAAAGTCCTTTTTGGAGCTCCCATGCTGATAAATTTATCAAAAATATGTTTTTCGCCCCAGTCCATGGTTTTTTTGATAGTATTTATACAAAATGGATTTTAGATCTTCATACATTATAGCGTGATATTTTTTGAACTACAAATTATACGAACTATTTAAAAATATATTTGAATAGAGAATGCTTTTGAGTATATTCTGTTAAAATTTTAAAAATATACACAAAGCAGATCTTTATTGACATTATCCCAAAGTTTGGGCAAAATTTTAGTTGTGACCCGTTACTCTGATATTTTACAGTTTAAAAAAATTTAAATTAAAAGAAGAAAAATTTATATATAACTTAGCGCATAAAATATTATGCGCTAACTCTGTTAATTAAAGTAAAGTTGAATCAGTCTCTCTGAGAGCTACCATAGAATTCAGAAAACCTGACTATCAGCCGGGCTCAAAACCATATAACATTAACGATTAAACATTGATTGATTTTGATGTATGATTAAAAATTAAGGTTATTGACGTATGATTAAACATAACTGAATAAAAAAATAATTTTTCATCCACATTGTTCAAAATTAAACAATGCAGAACAATCAGAAAGAGAAAAAAAAGAGATACAGCAAAACTTAACTGATTATAAATTAATTTTTAAACCTGACTACAAAAAAATAGACTTATGATTGAGTAGAATTAGTAAGTGACTTTTTTTGAAAGAAAAACCAGATAAATAAAGAGAATTATTAGAAAATAAAGTAAAAAACTCAGAGATACATATATGATACAGGGTTGGTCGGGAAGCGGGTGCCATTGCACTCGATAATTGACCACGGAAATAATATTTAGTTGCAAAAAAACGGCCAGATTTTTTAGTCGTTTTGAGAACATTTCAAAAACAAACAAAAAAGGGCAATAAGATTAACTGGACCGATGAGCAAATATTTTTGAAACGTTGCTCTTTTATAATTTTTTTAAATAAAATTAAGCAACATTTTTTATATAAAGTAACAACTTACTATTAATTATTGCTTAATAAGGAAACAAATGTTCTCCGATTTATCAAAGGGTATATATAATTTATATATATATATATATATATATATATATATATATATATATATATATATATATATATATACTTATGTCTTATTTCCAGTTCTGGATTGAGGAGGAGGGGGGTAGAAGGGCTATAGCCGGGACTCACAATGTTAGGGGCCGCGAAATAGTCAAGAGGATCATTTGGTATTTTTTAAATCATTTTTAGGTTGTGATACATAAAAAAGACAATTAAATACCATACTTATACCTTTAAATTGAATACCAAATTATACTTATACAATTAAATACCAAATTTAAATGAATAATCTAAAACATTCGATTAGTATTTTTTGAACCAATAGAATTAGATGTTCATAGATTTGGCGGGTTTATTGTGTTTGCGAATATTCTTTTTCTATTTTTCTGCATTAAGATGTTTGAGAACATTCGAGTTTATGTATGTTTCCATGTATGTTTGTAAAACAAAATATTTTAATGTTTACAATAAAATAATGATTTTACGGACAACAATAAAATATACATAAACTTAAATGTTCTCAAAACAACTAAAAAATCTGGCCGATTTTTCGCAACTAAATATTATTTCCGTGGTCAGTTATCAAGTGCAATTTCACCCGCTTCCCAACGAAGCCTGATGATATACTTATATGTATCAGATATCTATAGTATATATCTGATATCTTTATTTTATATAATAGTTATATAATAAAGGTATACTTAAGAACACATACATAAAAAAATATACATTCTTTTTTGTTATTTTTTAATAGTGGTGATAACAACCAAAAAATCATTAACTGATGGAAAAAAAATTCAAGTGATGTACAAGAGATGGAATCAATGGAAAAAATATTATTATGTAATTGAAATAAAAAAGTACCTCCCATATTCAAATCAGTTTCTTTAATTTCTTCATGAAGTTGTGCCAATCGTAAGCTAAAATAAGCAAACTTCATTAGAGTTTATAAGAAAAAATATAGTCTTGCTTAAACCTGGTCTGCCATCTCACTCTAAAAAATAAAAACATATAGCTGCTGCAATGTCACTTATGATATAAAATTAGCAAATTAATTTTTTGGACAAGACATTCAACCCAATTGGTAGTTTTAATCAGGGTTGAAAAAAATTAAAAAAAAAAAAAATACGTCTTTTTTTGGTTCAAACTCTATTTTTTTAAAACAAACTTTGTTAAATCTTTTATATATATATATACATATATATATATATATATAATATATATATATATACATATATATATATATATATATATATATATATATATATATATATATATATATTTATATATATATATATATATATATATATATATATATATATATATATATATATTATATATATATATATATATATATATATATATATATATATATATATATATATATATATATATATATATATCAGGGGCTATTCTAGGAAAATAATTTGAGAGGCAGTCCCCCCTGTGCTGGCGCCTGTCTTAAGGAAATTGAGCGGAAACATATTTGTGAAAAAAACAATAAAAACAATATCTGGCAAGGACACAGTTAAAAAACAAAATTATCTATTACGTATACAAATTTATCCTCTGCCATCTTTACTCAAATCAGATTCCCAATCTTAATTTTGTTACCTCTTGGTTGACTGGTAGTGAGAAAATCAATGAAACTTTCACATCTTCAAAATTATGTGATAGTGATGACCCTGAGGCCTATTATTATTCAAAAAAAAAAGTTTTTCAAAATTATGTGATTTAGGTACTCAAATAAAAAGAAGTTTTATAAAAATTTCAAAAATAATAATTTTTTCATATTAAAATTATTATTTTAGATTTTATTGCATAATAACAATAGCTTTTAAACTAAAAGTGAAAAAGGTGCATTTTTACATGTTTTTTAATAACAATTTTTTTCGGAAAATGATTTTTATAAAACGATTATTATTTTCGAATTTTTTATAAAACTTCGCTTCTTTTGAGAACCAGGCTAACCTACTTTTGAAAAACTTTTTTTCTCCAAAATATTAGGGTACGGGTAATTTTCCCAATAAAGTTGCGCCCTTAAAATCTATCACAATCATTCTCATATTTGATAGTATCAATAATAATAACTATTAGCAATGTTTAGAGCCTGTAACAAGAAAAAAAAAATTTTATGACCCACCCTAATATATATATATATATACATATATATATATATATATATATATATATATATATATATATATATATATATATATATATATATATATATATATATCGGTACTAAAAAAATTTAAACGTCACGGTACCAAGTTTTCTTAAGTACCGGTAGTACCGAAGACCCGTTCAAACCCGATTCCTTGATGCGCATGCGTGCAGTAGCGCGTCCTCTTTATTAAACTGCTGAGAAATGGCGACCGGTGGTGCAGCTGATGTGGTAGCTCTAAATCCACTTGTTGAGAAAAAAGGAGGAAAGAGCCATGTGTGGAAATATTTTAGACTTGCGGCTGATGACAAGGGGAATATCATTGATAATCAAAAACCCATTTGCAAACGATGTCGCCGAAGTTTTCTCTCAAAAGGAAGAAACACATCGAACTTAATAAAACGCCTCAAAGACCGACACCCGGATCTGACGAAAGAGTTCAAGCAGGTAAGTTTCAAAGTAATTTAAAATATATAGCTTCTGTTATGAATTATATATCATATTTTAATTTGAATGTCTGAACCAGTCGGATAGAAATAAACAGCCAAAAATAAGTCTTACAGAAAGATTAAAATAACAATAATAAGCTTAAAAATTAAATTAAATAAATATATACTTTTTTTTTACGTTTTTTTACAACCTATTGATAAGACTTTTCTTTTAATAAGTATTTCTGTAAAAAGTCGTTTGTAAAAAGTTGTTTTTAAAAAGTCGCTCATAAAAAGTCGTTTGTAAAAAGTCGTTTGTAAAAAGTTATTTGTAAAAAGTCTTTTGTAAAAAAGATTTTGACGTCTTTAATAGAATGACTTTACAGAGAAAATAAAATCGGTGACTTCAAAAGCGAAATGTAACTTTTTAAGTGACTTCGAATTAAAACGTTTAAGCATTAAAAGTTTTGAACAACGTTCAATGTTTTGAATAAAGTCGTTGTTGTTAATAAAATTAATATTAAAAATAGTTCTAAACGATTTAATTTAATAAAAAAAATTATAATTTAGTAAAAGATAATATAAATATATATTTTTGCTGATTCTTTCCTTCTTCAAAAAAATAAATAAAAAAATTCCAAAAAAATTTATTGAAAAAAACGTTTTAGCAAATAAAGTTTTATGTATAGTTTTTTTGATTAAAGTATTAAAGGTTTTTATCGCATTATAAAAATGGAAATAAATATAGTTATAGAAATAGTTTTAAATTTATTATAAAAAATACATACTTATAAAATAAATAAAACTACATATATTATATTTAATTATTGGGAAAATCCTTCTAATCCTTTACTTTTTTACTTCCATGGTGCTACTAATAGAAATTATGTAATTACCTACCGTGTAAAGGATTAAACAATTTTATACAAAAAGTATTTTTTAACAAAATTTAAAATATTTAATCTTTTTACAAGTACTAATTATTTATTAAAATTGTTTATATAGGCTTTTATATAGGCTATTATATAGGCTATTATAAAAGCTGAGGTTTGTTATTTAGAGAAAAACTAATGTTTCATTTGTTCAGACTCAGCCCATTTTTGACTTCTATACTTATAAAGTATATTTATTATATTTTCCTTTTACAGCTGCAAGCTGAGGAAGACCATGGAACACCCCCGCAAACTCATAAACAGGCAACAGTTAAAGAAGCTTTTCAGTGGCAACAAAAATATGACAAAAACTCAACTGAGGCAAGAAAGCTGAACCTAGCTGTTGCTGAATTCATATGTATTGATAAAGTGCCCATTTATACAGTTCAAAAATGTGGATTCCAACAAATGCTCCATCATTTCAACCCAAAATACCAGCTTCCAAGTCGAAACTTTTTTATGTACACTGAGATTCCCCGCATGTACAATGACACCAGAGACCTCATAATCCAGCATCTCAGTGACAAATCATTTTACAGCTGCACAACAGATCTTTGGACAAGTAAAACTGCAGACACTTTCATGTCTTTAACTCTGCAGTACATTACTAAATCATGGGAATTGCAATCCTGGTGTCTTGACTGTTGTGGTCTCAACACAGACCACACTGCTGAAAGTTTGAAGGAGGCCTTTGATGAAAAACTTGAAGACTGGAAGTTGGACATTGCAAGAATGTCAGGCATCACAACAGACAGTGCCTCAAATAAAAAAAAAGCCTTTGAGGACTACACCTCAATTCCTTGTTTTGGACACAATCTCCACCTTGCTGTAAATAAGGCATTAGACATAAACAGGGTGTCTGCAGTGCTGTCAAGGCTTCGAAAAACTATTTCTGCCTTTACAAGATCCCCAAAACTTTCACGCCAGCTGACCAAGAAACAGAAAGATCTGTCCTCTCCAGACCACAAACTCATTCATGATGAACCCACTCGTTGGAATTTTTCATACGATATGGTGGAACGTTTCTTGGAGCAGCAGCAGGTTGTTTGTGCTGTCCTGGCTGAAGACAGGAAAAAATGGCATCTGATGCCAAAAGACTCAGATATTACAGTTTTAGAAACTGTTAAAGCAGTTCTTTGACGTAGTAACGGCAAGACTGAAGACATACCACCCTGTCTTCAGTCTTGCCGTTACTCTGGAAGATATTTGAGTGTCTCAGTCATGAACAAAGTGACTCTGCATTAGCCAAAGAGATGAAGGAAAAGATACACGAGTATCTTCAGCATCGCTATGATGACCTGCAGCTTCGGTTTCTTTTGAACACTGCAACCTACCTTGATCCACGATTTAAGAACAGCTTTGTCTCTCTAAAAGATGATGTGAAGCAAAGTCTCCTGGATGTGGTGAAAAAAATGGGCAATGAAAAAGAAGGAATTGCATCTCGGGTGTCTGGAGGATTGTCAAGTAAAGAAGTCAGGCCATCAAAAAAATCCAAAAATCACCTAAAGTTTCTGCTTTCCACCATTCAAGGGGAAAAGAAAGAAAAAGGAGAGCCAGCATCCTCAAGTCAAGCACCTCTTTCTGCAAGTGACGAGATAAATGGTGAATTCTTGGTGTACGATCAGATGCCTGAGGTCAGTGATGAGGATGATCCACTTATCTGGTGGAAAACAAATATGGGTATTCTACCTCAACTATCAGAGTTTGCCAGGAAGTACCTTTGCATTGCTGCATCTAGCTGTTCATCTGAAAGAGTGTTCAGTACTGCAGGGTACATTGTTAGCCCAAGACGCTCAAGACTGAGTCAGGAACATGTTGATATGTTAGTGTTTCTATCGGAAAATCTGGAAATGGCAAAGAAAGTAACTTAAGGAATAACTGTGTAGACCAGTATTGATTTGGGTGAAACTTGTTTGAAAAAAATGTTGTTATTTATCTAGTTATTTAATTATACAATCCTTGGCTTGAAATACTTAAATTATGCCGTTGTTTTTATTGTTTTTTTACATGTATAATAATATTTTAATTTACAACTTGTTGTTCAGTTATGGCATATTTTGTTTAATTTATAAAAATGTTAAAGTTTATAAATAAGAGTGATTATTCAGTCATGGCTTATTGTTTTGTTATTTATCTAGTTATTTAATTACTTAAATGTTTACAATCCTTGGCTTGAAATACTTAAATTATGCCATTGTTTTTTTACATTTATAATAATATTTTAGTTTATTACTTGTTGGTCATGGCATATTTTGTTTAATTTAGAAAAATTGCGTTTTTTAGGTTTGTAATTTTTCATTTATTATTTGTGGAAAAAGTTGAAACACAATTTTAAACAAGTATGAAGAATGGCATTGTTTAACTTTATTAATAAAAATAGTGTGTTTTTCAGC